CCCAGGGTGCAGGGAAGTGGCCTGCTCCTGAACTGAGGTGGCTGCAAACCCGCTCTGCTCCCTGACTGTGCCCATGTCCCTGCCAGGAACCAAAGGCTTCCTCAGCTCTGTTGCCGTCCCCACGAGAGGAGGCGATGGATGGGTACAGAGGAGACARGAGATCCTCGAGCTGCTGGGAACCTCAAGGGCTGGATGCTGCCCTCATAACAGCGAAGTCTACAGACTGRCTCACAGTGGGAGACTTCTCTGTGCAGGTGAGAAGATGGAAAAAAAATAATAGCAATGCTACAATTCCACCAGTGAGACAGTTTATAAGAGGTGCCAGCACATAAACAGGAAAACAGGCAAAATATCACACAATCCTGTTTTGCTTAGTTTCTCTTTTTCACTAGATCAAAAACTTGTCTTAATTTCCAGCATAGCATGAAGCAGAAGAACAAGACACATGAGGACACATCAGGAGAGCTGAAAAATGAACAGTGTAGCAATGCCCCATTCTCATTAGTGGAAGGTGAGACACCACATGTATGCATAAAAAATYGCTTCAATTTTAGCCTAGGTGGGGTTCCATAATGCACAAGCTGACCAGAAATCAGATGTCCACAGAGAATGATGGAGAAGATTGGAGAAATATGCTCTGCTAAGGACTTGCATAAGATTGAAGGTTTTAGCACCCCCAAAAATACTGCTTTATTCTGACCAAGGGCAGTAGCCTTTGAACAACATGACAGAGAATGGTTTGACAGGGGAACAAATGAGCCTCCTTTCCTGGGTAGTTGTGTCTCGCTTGAACAGGGCCATGCTGTGGAAAACATCAACCCAAACCAAAGAGAGACACCACGACCACGGTGGCGCCGGGACGGCCCCTCCTGCCTCCCGGGTGCCRGTGGTGAAGTGCTGTGGGGCAGCAGGGTCTGGAAGGAGCTCTGCGGCGAGCGCCATTTTGTTGCGCTGACTGTGGAGGCCCCAGAGGCGGCGGGTGGCGGCACGGCTGCCATGTCACCYGTTGCGCCCTGCCGCCGTCCCCGAGGGCCTCGCTCTCCACACAGAACCGCGGCGTTCTCAGCGAGCAGCGTCCGAGGCTGGAGCTGCCTCGAGCTTAACCATCATGAGGAATTTTATGGGCTTTGCAATGGTGATATCCGGCCTCGTGTATGGACTGGCAAAACCTCGGGTAAAAATCATCTCAGGGGTCTGGCAAAAGCTGAACTTTACAAATATACCATTTTCTTAGCAAAACAGACAGGCCCTAAAGACGGCAGTGAATCTGTCCTGGAGCTATGCAGTGCAACCAACATGACAGAAAAAGGACAGGCTACTGTTTTTATCCATTATCCAGGTTCTAAGCGCATATATAAAACATATGTGCTTCCACTATGGAAGATAATGAATAGGAAATAGACTTAGCAGGGAAGTGACATTTCCATCTTGTTTAACTGYGTGAAATAATTTCAATAAACATAGAGAAGATGAAGGGCAGATAATGCTTAGGAYATCTTAAAAAACCTATAGTTATTCAGTCCTCTGGTGAACCAAAAGCAGCAAAAGCCATCAGGCTGGGTATGTTATTAATGCTGATTTTTGTCACTTTTCCTCTAGTAATCTCGTACGGTTTATTGTGTTTGTGGTTTACAAGTTAGATAAAAACAGACCGGCATCCTGCGTCATAGTTTTATAAATGTCAAAATATAAACAAATTTGCTTCTGCACTATCAGACTATTTAGCTTATTAACGACGAGTCTGATATTACATAAGAACTACATGCCATCCATTCATAATCCTCACTACCAGCTTCACTTAAACTCCATGAAATTCGTGCTCGGACAAGTWTTTATCAAGATAAGGCAAATGACATCACATATTTTGCCATAAGGCGTTTAACAGCTCCTACCCGGCTAGACAGTGTTTGCTCCTGCGACTTTCCAGTAATTGCAGCTATTGCTCAAGCCGCTCCTGTGTGTGCTGGTGTTTGAAACGCACCATGTAAACACGCCTTGGAAAACTCACTTACCACCTGTGGGGGAGATGATATCATGCTTCCTTGGTGGCATCACCATAAACCCTCCGCTCACATTTGCTTGTAATACGAGACATGCGAAACACATGCTCTGTGTAGCTTGAAGAAAAAAAAATGACACATCTCTCTTTTTAATCATTTCAGCTTTCCACAGCGTGGCCAAGTTTTTTATTGTGTGTGTGTTTTTCTTTTTCTTTTTCCCTAGGGTAATGTTCCTTGACAATGATTCCTGTCTTCATTCCCATCAGCAATCTTTTCAAGCCGGAATCACATCCCAGCAGGTGAGGACTGCATGGGAGTACAATGCATGGGCTTGGTTTTAAAAAACAGTTTTAGTGAAAATAAAGCAATTGCCCACATGTGCCCAGCAAAAAYTGCCCTATATCGACATGCAGTTTTAGTCTGAATTTTCTGAATCTTCTCATTCTTTCTGTAGATGTTCCAAGTCAAGAGAAAGGCTGTGAGGTGTGCTGAGGAAGGAAGATGTGTGGGGACCAAACGCGGGAGGAACCTCTCTCTGGGATACAGAAATGCCTTGTGGCTTCCTCCAGATCCCACAGCAGCTATTTCATGTGGCTGAAGAGGAAAGGGCCGGGTAATTGGGTGCAGTAATTAATTAAATCCTCTGCAGCAGCCACAAGCAGAGAAATGTAGCACAGTCATGGGCAAGCTGCACTTCTACTGACTTTAGGGAGGAAATCAGTCTTGGTAGGAAGTGGTCTCTGCACTGAACCCATGTGAGGGTCTTGCCAGTGTGCCCACTTTTCCTAATTGCCCCTTTTCCTCTTTCTGCAGAAATCAGGGGAAATATCTTAAAAAACAAAACATATAGCATTGAAATGCCCTAATACCTCAACCACTGGAATATTTTTTTTCTGAAGAAATGGCAATTACTGAAGGAAAGAAATGAATGTTTAAGTCGGATGAAGAAGGTGGTCCTCCTTGTGTATTCTGCCCAAATATTTACTCACTGCAGCATTTTTCTGAGCACCAGAAGAGAAACCTTGGATATAAGGAGGAGAATCAAAGAGCAATGAAAGTGTTTTTCAAGCAGGTCATAAAAATAGCTCCTCATAAAGTAGAAACAGCTGCTCCTGGAGACAAATAAACTCCCATGTCATTCCCATGAGAACAGGAAGCACTCTTAATGATCACAACACTGCCAGGCTAATAAATTAACCAAAAATATTAAAACCAAAGATAACCACACATCCACAGATTAAAATGTTCAAGACTTTTTCACAGCGTACTTTTTCAACCTTTGCCATTATCCTACAAGATACTGTTGCAGGGCATCCAATACTGAATAAAATTGGCTTTCTGCTCTGAGCACAAGGAGACAAGATAACACAGACAGCAAACTTTGGAGTCTGAAAAAAAAGGTATATTTTTGTTCTATTCATGCTAATATAAGTCCTCTGTCCAGGTTTAGGTTCAAGCCATAAGAATAACACAGAGCAATTACTGGGTGCCTTAAAAAAAAAAAATCCTAGCAAGAATAACCATGCATCTCCAAACTGTAAGCTACAAGGATGGATAGAAAGGGGCTGGGAGGYTCCGTCTAGAGAAGACTGAGGGGAGAGAGAGTGTCAGGCTTCAGAACCCGTCCCCGGGGTCCCTGATGGATAAAACTGCTGTGTCAGAACACAGGAAAATGGAAGCTTGACATTTAGGGGAGTGAAACTCCAGACATGCCGTGTTGTGGGAATCACCACCAGGGAGGATTTTCAGGGCGGTTCAGACAAGCATCTGCTGGAGACAACACAGGTGCATGTGCTGCAGGCTCGGCCGTGGCAGCGTGGGCTCCCGCATCCCCAGAGACCCTCCCCAGGGCTCCCGACCCCGCAGCTGCTGCGCGCGCCCCTCCACCTGCAGCTGCAGCTCTCAGCGGGCAGGCCCGCACCACTGCTCCCCATCGCACATGGGAGCCCTTTCTCCACGGGCCCTCTCCACAGGCTCCCACATGCCTGGCTCCCATGGGCAGCACCTCCCACCGCTGCGGCCGCGCACGTTTCTCTCCCAGGCGGCAGCCCACAGCAGAGCAGACACAGCAGAGCAGAGCAGCCTCGCTGGGCCCATGCAATGCCTCGCGGACGCACGCAAAGGAGGGCTCCCTGACCTCATGTGGAGCTCGCTAATTTTTACCACATCATAAAGCATTTCCCACATTGTTCAGGGCTTCCAGCCTGTGTTTTGCTGCCAGATTTCCCGACAGCCATTTCCATGAGGTGCCAGGCTGCGAGCGCAAGGAGCCGGTGCCATGAGGCAGCTTCATCATTTGGCCCTGCAGGAGAAGGGGGCGTTACAAGGGGCTGCTCCTCATTCAGGGCTGACTTGTCAAAACAAACTTTGGGAAGCTGCGGAAGTGGGTGCGTGTGTTTATTTTGCATGGTAGTGAACGTGTTTGGGTTTTCTTTCTCATCCTTCCTTAGTAATATGGAAAAAGTCTGTCAAAAGTCATCTATCTGTGGGAACGCTTAGTAGGGGTCCACTTGAACATGAAAAAGGATTAGGTGCAACAGGCAATGCCAAGGAAAGACACAAAAGAAAGGGAAATGGGTATGCAGATAAGGCATAGGGGCAGGGCAATTAAATTAAAGATTTTATTGTGAAGCAAGTAAAAACCTCATGGGTGGCCTCTGGAAAGTCCCTAATCAAAGTGTTTCTGAGCTTTCCTCTCCAAAGTGGAATGTTCACAATTACCCACACCACAAGCGGGCCGCCTTGCTACACTTGCGAGGGGCTGCCAACGCTTCTGCCATTACCTCCCCAAAACGTTACTGCATTTCTATCGCTGCGATCTGGGTGCGCTCATGCAAATTCCCCCACATCCCCAGGTGAGCTATTTCTGATGCTGGCTGCAGTTTAGAGGGAGCTGCTCACTCCCTCACTCCCAGGCTGCTCCGGCTCACAGAGTCCCGAGGACAAGCAGTTTTGCTATGTAACCTGGAAGCTTGCCTGAATTTTCAATGGAGAGCAAATAACGGAGAGGCCACTCAAAATCCATCCTCCAATCTGCAGCAAGGGCACTGTAGAGGAAAATATGTTAAGTGTGGGCACATTAAAACTACAGTAAAAAAGCAGAGTGCCTGATGTGGTCTTATTAAGCAGAACTCAGTGTATTTTTCTGCTGCAATAATAATTTAAGCTGATCTTAATGGACAAATAAGATTCAGATAACAGACAGAACAAGTTAGTTAAAAGAAGGGTTTGTAGTTGATATTCTACCAAAAAGGAGACATTTTCATTAATGTGAACATTAAAAATGAATGTAAAATCATTGAACAAAGGCCGACAGCTGCCAAGATTGAAAAAACACATTACCAGGACTGAGAGCCAAGTTTAGACCTAGGTGAGAGAAGGGGTGTAAAGACAGTTGTACCCGTATCTGCAATTCCTCAAAGGCAGCTCTGCTGTGGGAAAATCCCTGCTGAAGTACACAGGGATCTTGCCTCCTGAGAGGTCTCATGTAAGCAGGACTGCAAGAAGGCTCTAACAATGTCTGACACTTACGCTGCTCCCCTGGACACTGCTTTGTGACAGGAGCTTTGGAAACACAGAGTATTAGGCAGATATCATCAGACAATCCTCCCCTTCATGGTACTTACATCCTAAGTCATGAGACTTTCTCGCATGTGTACAAGTGAAACTTGTCCTGGCTGCTTCTTTACAGCATCTTTATACCCACCGCTTCATAATTCTCTTTGGTAACACAAATGAGACTGCTTTAATAAAGGAAAAGGAAAATATTTTACTATCCATGTCACATATTCCTTCACATCCTCAACACTGGTGGGCATTCTTCCCCAGAAGAAGMGGGAAGGATCAAGACACAGAAATATCCAAGTCCACTTTAGCTTTTGCTCCAGAATACTGTTCATTATCCAAACACTGAATTCATGAAGCAGCACAGAGCAAAGCTCTTCCCTCATCCAAAGGCAGCTGCAGGGGCTTTCCCATGCCAGAAAAAGGGTGCACATCTCCCTAGAAACCCCTGCTGAATGAAGGGACAAGCAGGCAGCCGTAACCATCTCCTGGCTGTTAACCCTGTCAAAAAACCCTCTTTGCTGTTGGGAAGGTCTGAGGCTGGGCAACGGGAGGCAGAAAAGACAGTTTTAAGGTCTTGAAGGCTTCTGTGCACACAGTGCCTTAAAGGCTTGTTTTGTGCATCAGGATTTAAAGCAGCATTAGGGAATTTTGCCTAACTTGCTTAAAAATCTGATTGTGAACAAGTGTCTATGAGATGTACGTGCTTTCCTCAGTCAGGACAAGTTTGTACATACAGATTGGCTTAGAGAAATTTTCTGAGCATAAAAAGACAAGCCATGTATTCTTGCTAAGAATTCACAACCTAGGAGAAGCTACTAGATACAAGATTTCTACACTCAGCCAAAGTATTTTTAAGTTTTAAAATTTAAAAAGATAATAAGAAATGGAAAATTAACATAAAAAAAGTTTATTAATTAAATGTGGTTCTCAGAAGAGCAGATAAAGTGGAGAGATGCAAAGAAAAAGCAAGGAATAGCAGAGGAGAGGGCAGAAATGCAAAGGGATTCATTTTCAAGGCTGCTTCAGATAAACACCTTGTGCAGGTGGAGCACAGTTCTCTGTTTATACTGTGAAGAAGAAGGCACCTTTGTTTCATCTTACTTAAAAATGTGAGTTAAAACTCAATCCTTCATCTCCTACCCCTCAGATTTAAACATCTTCCTGGCACCTGCTGCACGAAGTCTAGTTTAACATGCTAGAGAGCAGCAGAACAGACAGTGGGCAGCTCCACAGACTATTATCACCCCAAATTTCCAYGGTAAATTGAGGCACAGAAGAGATAAAGCGCCTGCATCTCTGCCRAGAAGCATAAAGCTACACAGCACTCTCTGCACAACAGCCCTATCTCGTCTCGTGCTATTTTGACAACCATTTTATGACGCCCTCCTTTTCAAGAGCAGCACTTGACACTGTCCCCTGCCCCAGTGCCGCTGGGGGAGGCGCAAGGAGAGGCAGCAAAGCGCAGCTGGGACGGCATTTCGCTAACGGACTCGCTCCTCCTGAGGCAAGAGGTGCTGCTGACAGTGAAGGGGCTCCCTTCCCTGCCCGAGCCACCAAAAGAAACGCTTAGTGAGCTCCTTTGGTGGGGGCTGCAACACTGCGTTAGGAAGCATGGGACAGAAATCAACCCACTTCAGCTTCAGACCTCAAGGTAGCTTGCTTGCCTGGCAGCGGGAAACGCTTTCTTCCCGCTTGGAGACCAGCTACTGTGATGTGGAATCGCTGCAGCTCTGAGCAGTGAGCTCTGAGCTCAGTATCCTGCTCCCTAGCACAGGCTCCTCTGACACTGGGAATGGCCTCCTGCTGCTGCCAGCCTCTCCCTGCCATCTCAGTGCAGGCCCAACTGGGATGCTGTAAATAACCAACTGCCTTTTTTACCTAGTTTTCCTACAGTTTTCAATGCAATCAGTTGCAGGAGTAGCCCTGAACAAATTACAGCCTGGGTAACGTGATCCCAATCACACATTCCTTGCCTGAAGAGAGGGCAAAATGTTGCCTCGCACAACACTGAAATAGAGCCCTTTACATAACTGGTAAATTAAGGAGGAACTAAATCAGGTTCTGTCACTTTAAAGCGCTCCTCCACCCTCCATCACCTCCATCCATCAGTCGCCTGCAGCACGTATATTGAGGAATCGCGTGCAAGCGTTACCATAACCCAAGGCTTAACATAAACTATACTCTTTCAGGTCATTGGCAAATAACAGGTATATCCGGTTGTGCCTTTGTACTTGCCTGCACGCAAATTAAAAGCGCATGTAAAGTTACAATAATCAAAGTCAGTCAGGGGGAAGGGGTGGAGAGCCGGGGGATAATAACCGGGGATTCAGGTTATTTATCTTCACAGCAATGCCACTGTCAGGAGCCTCCAAAGGAGAGGGGCAAAGCTGGCTCTTGGGCACAGCTGTCCCCTGGAGCCCCCGCGTCGCGCCTGGCCCTGCTGCTCAGGGCTGCTTTGGCCAGGAGCTGCTCCCCAAGGAGGCAGCACCTGCAGGCGGCCGGCAGCCACGTTCTCCCCGCACGCACACGCTCCTGCTCCGCTCTCTCTCCGGAGGCAGCCAGCTCACGGGAGCCTGCGTGGGGGCTGCTGGGGAGAGAGGGAAGCTCCTTGCCATTTTTTCCCTCTCTCTCGCCCCTGGCGTGCCACGAGATTAGCAGCCATGAGCAAATGCCTCTTTGCGGAGCGCTGCGACAAGATGAAACCTGCCCCGGCTGGCACCTGCAGTCTGCTTCCCTGGCGGCCTTTGATCTGCCATCGCCGAAGGTTGGGAGACCTGTGCGGCTCCGCGGCAGACGCTTCCGCTGGCTCCGCTTCCAGGTGCTGGGAGCGATCTCTACATGTCAATGCTAGGCTTTCCCTCCCTGATGAATTTACCAAGAGGAAGACATTATTATTACTATTTGTCTTACTGGAGAAGTCARCTGTCTTGATCATGATTCCATGATATGGAATATTGTAAATTCTCCCAAAGTCAGTTTTCCATATTGACCACAGGTACCACAAAGGGTTTTCCTTATTTCCTTGGCTTGACTATATCTTCTCTAAATGTTTCTTCAAATAAATAAATAAAGCATAAATAAAAGCCTCCCGTTTCCACTACCCTAGGGAATAGCATGGATAATCTGATAGGTTAGAGCTTTACCAACCCACAGCCCAATCCTTTAAACTGGAGTATTTTCATTTACCACAGCGACGYAGCTCCTGCTGGAGGCAAATGCACCAAAACCTTCCACCGCTGCGCAAGCCAAGAATGCCCAACTACAGCGGGACGTGCAAATGTTTCTGCCGCTGAGCTTTACCAGGGCACTCATCTAGGCGAATCTGGAACTGTGCATTTACCCCTGACAACACCTATACAGCTGCTTTGTTTAGCCAGACCTTCTGTTTCTGGTGGAAAATGTGTCACTTCTGCGGCTCCACACGGGTGTTCTTCTCTCCCAGCCTTCACACTTGCCAGTCACCATTTTATTGACTTCCAGCAACAGAAGGGAAAAGGGGACTGAGGGGCAGGGAAGTGTGTTCCCTGCCTCGTTTCTGCAGGGCTATTTAAGGGGTGACATTTACAAGCAAATCCTTGACTGACCTGAATTTTCTTAGCAAAATCCCAGCTCAGGACCTTTCTCTTAACAAGTGAAGGCTGGGAAAAGCCCTCATGATGCACATGCTACATGTCCCTGTCTAGCTCAACTGTCACCAATTTGCTGTCCTGATGAATCCCTGTGTTGAGCGCAGTCTCTCCATAGGGTCTTGTCCAATGGATTGAGACTTTATAATTGGAAACTTTCAGTGATTTTAAAAATATTTTCCTTTACTTAATTCTGTTCCTCTCAGGTTTTCAGGTGCTGTGAGMGTCCACACAGTGCAAACAATTTGGCCAATCCACTTGGCCATGCCAGCAGGCAGAACAAGCAGTTCAGAAATTAGAGGCGAAGCCCAAGCAAGGGCCACACTCTGCCAGCCCTCTGACCACTCCTCGTGAGCAGAGGAAACCAAGATCTGCCCAAACCAAACCACACTGGGGGAGCCAAACTCACCTGATGCTTTGTTTCTGTAATGGCCCTACTCTGACTCCCAAAGGGAAATGAGTATCTACATTTTGATGGCTTGTAGCTCATCCCAAGAACCTCCTTAAGCAGCAAGGTTAGAGGTATGATAAGAAGCACCGCTTCCTTGGCGAGGTTGAAGAAACCACGGAACCTACTTTCAAGCAAAGCCCCACRCAGAAATTGTGCCCTCACACTAAGGGACACAGCATGGGCCAAAGCTGGGTGCAGCTCCCTCCCCTACATCAGACCTGCATCACCTCCCATGTAATTAGGTTTATTCTCCAAAGGAAGGAGACTTCTGAAAYCCAAACTGCATTGCTCTGCGAGCTACTGGATCCCAATGGCACTGTCTCTGTTGACATTTTGAAGGGGTGTGTTGCTGTCAGGTGGCCAAAGAATGCCGGCTGCACATGACACAAGCTAAAGAACTAATGATCAATATTCCTATCAGAGGGAATTATTATTTGGGAACTGCAAAGTGATCATAGGCTGGTCTAAGCAATGGCTAAGCCTTGGGACACAGGTTAGGAAAAGTCACATTGTCAATGAGCAACTGGAAGTCTCTTGTTTCTGCCTGTGCCTCAGTGTCCTGCCTGTGTAGTAGTGCCAGGGGTCTCTCAGTGGAGACTCTACATCCTCCATCACATGCAACTTGGTCAAAGTGTAATCATCTGGGATGAACATTTCTACCCTGGGATGAATGTTTCTACTCTAGGGAAATCCACCACTCAGAATGAGTCTCTGGAAAGGCTTAGTCCAGAAACAGTCTATCCTATTTATGAGAACAACAAAAGAAGGTATTCACGTTATAAAATAGTGGTGGCCTTTCCTTTGAAATACTCTATAGCCTGAAACTTTAACGGCAGGACTAGGTATTCAACTAGATACTGACTTTTCTCCTCCAATTTCGTCTTTGGATCTTCCCTTGACAATTCACTCAAATTGAACAAATTGGAAAAGGCTGAAAAATCATATTTTGCACATCTGCAGTAGAGATTTCATTGAACTTTATAGACGAATCTTGAGAATTTCCATTCACAGAGAATATGCTCCAGGCTGTGACTGAGGTGGACCTTGCTTTCCRCTGTAGCCCCGGGCTATTTTGCACTAGCATCCATCCCTGTGCTGAGCACACACATGTGCTGGCTTAGCTGGCACTTGCTAGAATGGCAAATACGAAGCTCTCAGAGTTACAGAGCAGCTACACCACAAACTTCATATCATAACTATTAATACAAAACCCAGAAAAGTCTGCAGAAGAAATGAGAAACGAAATATGACTGTATAATACTCTAAGCAATGTCGTTGGGTTTTTTGTTTGTTTTGTGCTGTTTTTTGCTTTCCAGTGGCCTAGCATATTATAAATTTTCTGTATTTCAAAACAAGGGTGGACCTTGGTGACACAAGTCCTAGTTCTGCAAAATTCAGTAACAAAGTGATGACGCAAAACTGCTAAATGTCACCAGCAAATGTCTTTGCTAAAGAGGGGCACTAAGAAGGCACCACAGTTTGCCTACATTTTGAGGATAGACACCATAATGTAAATCTTGAGCAGGATCTAAACTTTTCTGAATGTTGCTGTTTGGTCCACCTTTCTTTCAAGTCCTTCACAGTATAATTGTCACTCACCGAGGGCAGTTGTATGATAAAAAAGAAAAGGGCAAACACAAAACATCACTGATGAAAGAGCAGTTTAGAAAAGCTATTCACTGCATGACCACAAAGTAATCAACTCTGTGTTTTCCTCTCAGGAATGATTAAGCAATGTGGTTTCCTCTGGTACTGTCAAGAAGAGAAGGCAAACTTTGGGAAGAATTGCTATGGGAATTTGGCAAAGCAAAATTAAGACAACTACATAACCGAGTTTTATGCTTGAATTAAATAAAACGTTACGCTCATGTCATCTGTAATCAGATCTATGTGTTATCTGTGTGGAAGGAGACTGCAACTTTTATATACTTTTATTTTATGAATAACATGAAAAGATGAACAGATGTAGAGACAAGAGCCCTCACTAGCACTGAGCTGCGCCGTGAGGAGCATTGAGCGGTTTCTGCCCTTCCCTCAGTAGTTGTGGGAATTTGACTCAGAATTTGGAGCCTAACTTCAGCTTTTCAGTAGCAAGTGAGAACTGAAATCATGAATTGAGAAGTCAGTGGGAATGCAAAGAGAGAAAGTCCAAGGAAATCTGAAATTAATGAAGGTTAAGAATGTGATATGCAACCGCAAATATATAGCCTTTGAAAAGCATGCCACGAATGTTTCAATTTAGGGCAGAGTGAAYGCAGAGCTTGTTCTGAATCATGGAGCCGCTGGCTCCTGCCTTGCCTGGCGTGCTGAGTAACACTGAGGATGTGGCTCCTTGTATTTGCTGACATCTCATGCTTGGTGTCAGGAGAAAGCTGCCAAAGTGAGCAAGGCCAGGAGACTGGATCAGAAAATATCGTATCATTGTCCACACTCTTGTGGTAAACTCTTTTGGCCAAGGTAATTTTTCAAAAAAAAAAAAAAAATGCAGAAGCAGAAAATTCAGAGCTTACCCCAGGCAAAGCTGGCTCATATAYGTGGTGCTTGATCATGCGCTGCAGGCGACTGGAGGGAGCTCTTGTAAACCCGGACGTTCAGCAGGTTCTAGTTTACTTCAGTGATGACTTGCATGATTTACAACAGCATTGTTGAGATGAGAAGCAAGCTGCAAGGACATATTAAAAAGCCTGTAAAATTTTAAGCAGTCTTAAACAATAGGATGTTCCATTTGTTTAAGTTTCCCAGTGATTTCTGGGTTTTATCATTATGCTTCTCGGTTTTGTGAAGTATTGTGCAACATTCAGAAACAGACAAAAGGAAAAATATTTCCAAGGGGTAATTTAATGAAGCATGGGTTGGATCCTTCTATAATCTGTAAACAATTTGTACGTGCTCTGTTCTGAAGCATGAAACATTGCTCGACTGTCACATAATCTACCCTGAGAACTGGTAAAATGAAAGTGGGAGGGGGTTGTTTTCTCTGGACCCAGGTACAGGAAAGACAAAGGAGCTCAATGTCAGAGTATTCTCCACAAAAGGCTTCAAAGGGAAGAGGTAGCGAAAGAAAATGGAACACGGTCAAGTCCTTGAGAAACTCCAGTTGCTGCTCTGGAGGATTTATGTGCAGCAGATTCTAACTGATATCCCAGCCTTACCAGTGTTCCCACAGAGAAGCCCACGGCTGCCTGAGTTGAAAGAGCAGCCAGGAGCTGAGTCTGCAAACCACTGTTCAGGTAAGAAGTTCTCTGTGCATCAAAAAAAAAANAAAAAAAAAAAAAAAAAAAAAAAAAAAAAAAAAAAAAAATCACTTTGTGGATAAGGGTTTTTCTTCAAAAAGGGAAGACTGTGGTTGAGAGCTCAAAATTTCCTCTGAACACATAAATGAAATATCTCTGGGGTCTGTAATTCCTTCCCCCCTGCCAGCCCATCATACTTTCACCTTCACAACGAGGTTTCTCCTCCGTGCACACAAAGCACCTTCACTCGGAGTTGCAGAGGCTCTGGTATCCCCACCAACTGCCTGCCCCCTGTCTCTGGCATTCCTGTCAAATCAATCAGGATTGTTACCAGATTAGGCACAAATTCCTTTCGCTTAATCCCAAACCCACCCACTTATCCCCTTTCAACTTCTTTTTCTCTCATATTGCACATCAAGTACATTTTTCTGAGCTTCAGAAATAATTCATTTTAGGCAGCATATATTTTCATTGATCCCACTCTTCAACTCTTAACAAACCCAACTTAGACTCACAGAAATTCGGGACTGACTTCCATAGCACCTGTGTTTGAATAAAGTCCAAACTGAAAAAACAAATCATGAAATATCTAAGGGCAGTTCTGAACTTGGGGGACTCTAGCAACAAAAGGAATAATAATAATAAAAAATGAAGGCAGACGGACAATTTGTCAAATGAAACAGAGAGCAAGGGCTTGATCACGCCTTGCCTGCAGCTGGTATCACACTAACGCATCAGTGTGATAAATGTTTCACTGAATCTGTAGTTGAGTGTAAGGATCTAACAAAGATCAGGATCAGATCCCAGTAACTGAGCCTAGAAAACTGGGTGAACACTTACTGCAATCAAGCAAATATTSAGGCTACAACAGATGTAGGCTGAAGCTGTAAATACCCTATTTGTACCACAATTCCTTCTATTACAATGGAAGTGGCTTCTACCACCACAAGGGGAGAACAAAACATCTAAAAGACATTTTTTTTTTATTTTAAATAGTGACAGAACTCTTAAAACGTGAGAAGAAAAAAAAGGAAACAAATGTTTCTGTGCAAGATAAAACAAAAAGTACAAGGATCTGTGAATATCTCCTTAAACCGTGTCTGTGGAGCTCACAACAGGGGAACTGTGCTGCTTCCTTCTGTAGGAACTGCTAGCGACCTAGGACCCTTCCCATTTGCAGTATAATGTTGAAATTACAGGGGAAAAAAGGTCAGTAGGATTTACAGTGTGCAGCGCACTGCACCCCAGCTCCCTCGCCGCAAACATCAGAGACGGCGAGCTGGGTGCAGAGCCCCTTGCAGCAAYAGAAGCCAGACGGAGCCCTGCATCCAAGGGAGGATTTAGGGACTAGTGGGGCAAGGTGGAACCCGTCCTTCCACGCTTGCCCCGACGCTCATGCCAGGGGCATGGGGAATTCCCTCTCCCCCGGCATGAAGCGGAGCCCCGGTGCGGGCTGGGCTGCGGGATGCCCGCGATCCCGCGCCGGGCTGCCCCAGCCCGGAGGAAGCTCCCTCGCTCCGCAGCGCCAGGGAAAGCTGCTGGCGGCACCTCGGCCGCGTCCGCAGCGGCACAGMGCGCTCTGGGGCACGCGCATGGGGCTGGGGAGAGACACGGGAAATCCGTGCGATGCTAATTAAAACAAAAGATTGTCGTGCTGCCTGGAAGAGCCTGGGACAGTGACAGCAGATGGGGCTGCACTTTGCAGCGAAGTCACAAGCAGCAGCCAGGCTAAGCCTGCGATCGCCCCCTCAGCTGGGCTGAGTCCCAAGTTCCGATTTTATCTAATTTGTAAGTGCTATCATGATATCTCATCTCACGGCGCCACCAGAGCCGGGACCCGGTTGGTTTAGCGCCCGCTGCACCCGCAGCAAGCCCGGCAGCTCCTGAGCACTGGGCACAGTGTCCTCCCGCGCGGCGCTTTGGGGCTCCCCTGTCCGTGCCGGGGCGCGGGGCGGCCGCGCTGCCGCGGCGCCTTCCCCGCCGCCCTCAGGTAGGCGCGGAGGGGCAGGGGCCCCGTGGCGGCGGCGATGGCTGGAGCCTTTCCAGCCGCGGCTCACGCAAGGCGAGCTCCGCACGCAACGGGGAGGCGGCGGGCGGAGGAGGGGAAGCTCTCGGGCTTCCTCCGCCGCCAGGATGAAGGCGACACTTGGCCGCCGGACACGGGGGGCTGCGAGCCCGCCCGCCGCCCCGCTTCCCTCCCAGCGGCTCCTCCGCTGAAACTTTTGGCCCGAGCCGCGGCGGCATCCGCAGCGGGGCCGCTCCGCTTGGCCGGGGCCCAAGGGCAGCTGGCAAATAGCTGGGGCTCCTCAGGCCAGGGGAAGGGCCAGGCGGCGGCGATTTGTCAGCGGGGCTCCCCGCGACCCGCCCGCACCGCGGATGCCGGCGGGTTTAAAGGCGCCCTCGAGGAGCAAAGGCAGGAGCGGCGGCGCCGGCTCCCGCTACGCCGAGGGCTCCGCGCGCTCCCCGCGCCGCTGGGCTGCGGCCGCCCCGTCCCGCTGCCCCGCGCCGCAGGTGGCCGCGGCGGGAGAGCCCGAGGCGCGAAAGCGGCGGGAAGGCGACGGCTGCTCTGCGCTGTTCGCCCGCACATGAGCGGCGGAGCGGCGGGTGCCGAGGACGGGCGCTCCGCATGAGCTCCCCGTCGTGTGGGATCTGAGCGTCGCTGCTGCTGCTGCCGYTGCCCGGYTCCGCTCCCTGYGACTGCCCGGCTGCGCTCCGTCTTCCCGGAGGTGCATCATGGAAGCGGCGAACAGCAGGTCAGTGACAGCGGGACAGTGGCAGCAGGTCAGTGACAGCGCGGGGGAGCGGAGGGCGCCGGGCGGGGGTGGCCTCGCCAGGGCGGCCAGAGCCGCGGCCGCCACGCGGGAAGCCCGTTTCTTGCGGGGGTTCTTGCGGCGGGAGCGGCGCGGAGCATCCTCCCGCAGCGGCGAGCTGCCCCTGCAGGGCTGCCAGCCGCGGCCCGGCGCTAGGGACACCTTCGGCACTTCAGCTTGACACACTCGTCTGCGGGCGACTTCGCCTCCCGCGCGGGACGCGCAGCGCGAGGGGGCGACACGGAGCCCCCGTGGGCGCCCGCCGAGGCGCTGCCCGCTGACCTGCCCCTTCCCCTCTGCCTTGCAGCATGGCCCTGGAGCGGCTGGCCGACGGCCTGCGCAGCATCCCGCCCTTGCAAAGCTCCCTRCTGCTGCTGCTCTCGCTGCTCGCCGCCCTCCAGCTGGGCAAGCTGGCGCTGCGGCGGCGGGAGCAGCGCCACGCGCCGCCGGGCCCCTTCCCCTGGCCGCTCATCGGCAACGCGGCGCAGCTGGGCAGCGCGCCGCACCTCTCCTTCTGCCGCCTGGCCGCCACCTACGGCGCCGTCTTCCAGCTGCGCCTCGGCCGCTGGCCCGTGGTGGTGCTGAACGGCGAGCGCGCCATCCGGCAGGCGCTCGTGCGCCAGGGCGCCGCCTTCGCGGGCCGCCCGCCCTTCCCCTCCTTCCAGCTGGTGTCGGGCGGGCGCAGCTTGGCCTTCGGCGGCTACTCGGAGCTCTGGAAGCTGCACCGGCGCGCGGCGCACGCCACCGTGCGCGCCTTCTCCACGGGCAGCGCCGCCACGCGCCGCCTGCTGGAGCGGCACCTGCTGGGCGAGGCGCGCGCGCTCGTGGCGCTGCTCGTGCGCGGCAGCGCCGGCGGCGCCTTCCTCGACCCGTCGCGCGTGCTCGTGGTGGCCGTGGCGAACGTGATGAGCGCGCTCTGCTTCGGCCGCCGCTACAGCCACGGCGACGGCGAGTTCCTGCGCCTCGTGGGCCGCAACGAGCAGTTCGGGCGCGCCGTGGGCGCCGGCAGCCTCGTGGACGCGCTGCCCTGGCTGCAGCGCTTCCCGAGCCCCGTGCGCGCCGCCTACCGCGCCTTCCGCGACCTCAACCGCGACTTCTACGCCTTCGTGCGCGGCAAGTTCCTGCAGCACCAGCGCAGCCTGCGCCCGGGGGCCGCCCCGCGCGACATGATGGACGCCTTCATCCGCCTGCAGCGCGAGCAGCCGCGCCTGCAGCTCGAGCACGTGCCCGCCACGGTCACCGACATCTTCGGCGCCAGCCAGGACACCCTCTCCACCGCCCTGCAGTGGCTCGTCATCTTCCTCATCAGGTAGGTGCCGCCGCCCGCCCGCTGCTGCGGCGCCGCCAACGGCCGCCAACGGCCGCCGCGCGACCGTTGCGCGCGGGGCGGGGCGGGAGGGCGGCCCGCCCGGGCACCGCGGCCGTGCCCGATTAACGGGCACGGAAGGGCCGGGAGAGCTGCCAGGAATGGACAAGAAGAAAGAGGAGGGAAAAAAAAAAAAAAAAAAAAAAAAAAAAGGAAAAAAAAAGCTAAACTCACCCCGGTGGGCGGGAGTGTTGCATAAAGGGAGGCTGGCAGACAGGCCGCGGGGTAAAACGCCAAGGTCCCAGATCGAGAGGTCGCCAGGTCGAGATCAGGGAGATCACAGGAAGGGGATCACAGGCGCTTAAGCGAGATAAAGAGTTCGTGCACCCGCTGACAGACCTGCTATTATGTTATTGCCCCCGCGCCGGGTGCCTCGCGTGACTGGTGGTCCAAGTGCCCCATGGCCGGGGCGGCACCGGCCCTCGCTGGGCCAGTGAGCGGGACGCACGGAACGACGCCCGCCTGAAACGGGCAGCGCGCCGGCTTCTTGCTCTGCCGCCGCATCAGTCCTGCTCTCAGGCTGGTGTTTCATCACGCTGGTTTATCTGCTCCACCACTTCTCGAAGCACCAGCAGGTATTTCGTGCTTCAAGCAAGGGGTTTGGGTTGCAGCGTTTACCGAACCCGCGTGGTTTCCCCTCTTTTTCTTGCACTCACCTCGCAGACCCACTGCGGGAGGAGAAGGCACCTTTGGAACCAACCCTGCACCTTTGGAAAAGCAAATAAAGGTTGCTGGTAGGAAGGCGTGCTTTTAGGCAAGCAAGGAAAATAAGAATAATTTACCGATAGTTTGATCTTTTGTTACTTGGTTGCTATGYGCTCTTCATGACAGTGGTCTTAAAATATAAAGAAAACATATTTTGATAATTGAGTAAACATACAAAAACTGGGACAAGTGCTTCCACAAAACTTCTCACAACTTTTAGCAGGGATCAGTTTTAAAATAGGTAGACTTTAATATATGTGTGATATGTCTAACGATAACTTCAGCTCCACTGTCAAAATTTTGAAGTCACATTCAGAGCTGGAAAACAGAAATTGCACTCCCCTGTAAAGCCCGGTATGTGAAAGAAAGAAGTAATTTTTATTTTGGTGTGAACTACATGTATTATATATATTGCATAGGTAAATTCAGAATATTTTGTTTCAGAACATCCAAATTTATTTCAGTTTTGGTACTGGGATTTGATTCGGGGCAATATTAGATATGAAAGGGAGAGGTGAGGAAATTTTAAAATTACACCTTTGCTTGAAAAGTTTGGAGAGTTCTTTGATCAAAGTGTTCAATGAGATCTGCATCTTCCTATGGCATATTTGCATTTGCTCAAATGGCAGAGGGTAGGGTAGGGGGTGAGGAATTGTTCTGTGATAAACATACTCTTTTAAAAAGTGTGCGCACGCACTTATTTTAAATGACAGGTATCCAAAAGTGCAGGCTAAAATGCAAGAAGAAGTGGATAGGATCGTTGGCAGGGACCGCCTGCCGTGTGCGGAGGACCAGCCTCGYCTGCCCTACGTCGTGGCTTTCCTCTATGAATCCATGCGTTTCAGCAGCTTTGTGCCTGTTACCATCCCGCATGCCACCACAGCCAACACCTTCGTCATGGGCTACCTCATTCCCAAGGACACGGTGATATTTATTAACCAGTGGTCAGTGAATCACGATCCAGCCAAATGGGTTAACCCGGAGGCTTTCGACCCGTCRAGATTCCTGGATGAGAATGGATTCATTAACAAAGACCTAACAAGCAGCGTGATGATATTCTCACTGGGAAAGCGCCGCTGTATTGGAGAGGAGCTATCGAAGATGCAGCTGTTTCTCTTTACCTCCATACTGGTTCATCAGTGCAATTTTACTGCTAATCCAAAAGAGGACCCTAAAATGGACTTTACTTACGGGCTGACCATTAAACCGAAGCCGTTTACTGTGAATGTCACACTAAGAGATACTATGGATTTGCTTGATAAGGCTGTCCAAAGACTGCAAGCAGAGAAAACTGCCAATGAAAATCACTCCTCTGCAAATACCTAAGCACAAAATCCTGCATCTAAAGATATTCCCTCTCTCTTTCTAGACTTCAGTAAGTTATAGTTTGTTYTGGTGATCTTTTTGGAAAATAGACAACCTAACAAGCTACAAGAGCAGGAAGGAAAACTGCACAAGTCATAAATCACTCTTCTTTTTTATTCTTAGACACAGAGCCAAGAAAACCATTTAATGTGTTAAATGTTAAATGCAAAAATCTGCATTTTGAAAGCAAGCTTTTTTTTTTTCCTAGCTTGTTCACAGAATTTGTAATGGTTAAGTGCTTTTTGTCTGCAGACTAGGTGGAGCATCTCCAGGAACTGTTTGTACAATCCTTTCTATCTATCCATGCTCTAATGCCTTAACTCTCAGCTCGCCTTCAGTTGATTCCACATTCCAAAGTGAAATCTCATATTAAAACCAACAAAAACAAAATCCACAGAACACTGTAGCCTCCCTCTGAGTTCGTGCTTCTGGAAGCTGCCATAGGCACATGGCAGGGCCTGTGTGTGACTGCTCGGGGCTACATTAGTGCCTCTTTGAAAAAAAAAAGACTGTCAAATAGTTTTGTTAAAATGCCAATGTAAAGTCTTGCCTCTAACATTCCAGAGTGTTTACACATATGTCTAAAAAAATAGATTTGCTTATGAGCACAACATTTTTAAATAAAAGTCATATTTTATATGAGAACAAACTGGGTGTCYTAATCCAGTCATTTTCAATACGTTTTGAAAGGAAAGGTCAGAACTGGGATGCCACCAGTATTCTGCAGTAACGACATGTCATCTCCCCACCCTACGGCACATAGGAAGTCCAGTTAAAATCCACATGGGCCAGAATTGGCAGAATGAGAATCTGGGGGAGAGGGTCATATTGAAACTGCAGTGCCACAGGCTTCAGATGAGGCACAAAGCAAACACAACAACTCTGCTCCCTAGTCACTCTGTTAGACTGAGTTAAATGTCGTAGCCAAACATTAATTATTATGCCTTTTTTTTTTAGTATGATTTGTTTAGAGCAAAGTCACARAACAAAAACTGACATTACATATCCCATTAAAGTACCGCATAGCTAAAGAAGTTGAAACTTTTCCRAGTTAAAGGACATCAAGAGGAAAAATAAAACTATTATTTTTAAAAGTAAAATACATACATGGAACTTCGTGGCCTTGAGTCTCTGGCTGTTGTTTGTGTACACAACATAGCCCATACTGCTCTGAAGTGTGAACCCTCATAGGTACATACCAGCCTTTGGAAAGTGCTGGACGTTTCTTGAGGAGCCACAGGGCACCCTCGCATAGCTGTGAAACCAGTCAGAAACAAGAGCACCTCTCCTGCAGCCTCTTGTGCTCATGTTGGTACAAAACAAGGCCTTAGCTGACCTAGGAAACAAGGGCACCATGGCAGTTACCATCTAAGGTGGCTCTGCAGAGACACAGGCAAATAAAGATTTGCATGCCTGGGTCTTCTGGTATGTGCCCAGTGTAATCAGCAGTTCCAGGGCTCACACGGACACTGATAGGAGCTGGGTTAATGACACCATCCCCACCTCCCAAAATAAGTAGAAACATCACTCCTGATAGCAGTAAGAGCCTGAATGGCATCTGAAGTACCCCACAGAGCAGGGCTGTGCTCACTTAACACCTCCAACGCCACGGGACACCTGCTATCCCTCCCCAAAGCTAAACCAGTTTTGTTCGCTGCAAAAGGAGTAACCTCAGGCGCTCTTCTGAGTTGCATACAAAACTGTGCTAGTCCAGAACTTAGCCTCTACCTGGGAAAAGCTTTATAAGATACCTGGCATTTTCTTACGGAGATCTACATTAGATCAAAYGCCAGCAAGACGTTTTCCTTGTACCTTTGTAAGCATCATTGAAAAAAGGATTTAACCTACAGCAGCACAGTTATTCTAACTCAAGGGTCACTTTTATATTTTGACAAAAAAAGGCTTTTGCGATTTTGTACTCTCCTTGAAGCTTTAAGTGTGCATTGGTTACTAATGCAATTTTCATTCACACTGCCGATGGGGTTTTGTTGCTGTGTGACGTCTGTGAGTGGGTCTCACACACTCCAGAGCTGCTGGTGAAATAATGCCTCATGTAATCTGTAAAGTTCTTCAAATTTAGTGATACCACCCGTGTAGAATGTATGCAGTTGTTCAGTGAGATAATTTTGTGATTATTTTAAGATGAATCACTGTGTTACCAAAATATTAAATAAAATTATTCTTGTACTGCCTTTGAGTTCACATGTGTAACTTTTTAACATCCAGATGAACACGATTTTTATTTTTGTATTTGGAAAGCATTATTCTGGATATTCTGTGTTGGTACACGTTTTCTTTCCCTCTGCATTTCTGGATGTGGAGTTTCCCCCCTCTCTTCCTCCAAGCTGCCTGCCTGTTCACACCTCGCCAGCTGTATTCATGTTCCTTGTTCTCTTTTGGCTAAGAGCATTCCCGGCTCCTGCTCTCCACATGTCTGGATTCTTTCGTGCCTTTTCTTTCTCCCAGCATCTGCTACTCTCTCCTCAGCCTGCACAGTCTCCTGTGTCAGGTTCTTCCCTGTTCCCCATTTCAGTTTTTCTCCTTGTCCCCTGATTCCGTCTTGTGCCCACACACGCCCACAAACTTACTTATTTATGTCTCTTCCCCTATATCCAGTGCTGGCATCTATATTCCTGCTACTATCCAGTAGCACTGCCTTGGAGACCAAATTCCCCCACTGTTCCTGCTGTTTTGCCTTGGGATATAATCAGGAATAGGGTGGGAATATCTCCCTGGGGTGGCCCCAGGATCTTACCATGTCCCCTAGTGCAATCTCCCACAAAGTCAAGGCAATCCTGTGGGAAGGGCGGCCCTAGCTCCCCTGTGGAACATCTCACGATGCCGTCTCTTACTCCACAAGCCCACTCTCTTGAGACACATCTGAGCTTCCCCTACAAACCTAGCCATGGAAAACAGTGGTAAAAAAATAGGGATTTACAGTAGTTCCCTCCTGATTCGGGATACGGGGCAAGGTGGCGTTTAGCAGCAAGCCACGCACCGCTGGTGCGTTTGGAGTTGCCGCTGTCACTGCCCCCCACACTGTGAGCGGGGTGGCCCGAGCGGCACCTGACAGACACACGCTGCTCCGGGGGGAACTGCCCCGTGTAGCGCGAGCACAGCATGGGCCAAAGCCAAACAGCTGCAGAAAACATTCAWGTCGAGTGTTTTTCCTTCAACATCTCCTGAGGCTGGGATTGCAGCGATTTCAGTGCGCCAGGAAAGCCAAATGCCCTTCTCATGTTTGCTTTTTTCTGTGTGTAGCCTGTCCCCCAGCACTCCAGGAACATTATCGTTTGGCTAAGAGTGTTTGAAGGGAGACTGGGAAGTACAGGGACCATTCAACACGGTCATAAAAGTTTCTTGGAAAACCAGTAGCTGTCGGCCCGGCCACTACAGAGCAGGTAAGGCGCCTAGCAGAGCTGGGGGAGGCATCTGCACTAGTCAGGTGGACCGTTTCATTCCCAAGGAAGCCAATGGATAAACTCGCTGGCTTTAGCAGGAGACAGTGCGGGGTGTCAGGAATAGATGCCAATGTTTTTCCATAGGTCAGGGCTTTCCCAGAGTCTATTGCTAGGAACGAGCCTCACCAAAGCTTGAGAAACAACCACTGCTGGGAGGAGGAGAGGAGGCCGAGCCCAGGATCCAAGGATCAGTATCTTGCTGGGTCTTGGCTCAACCCTCAGCTATGGCACGCTCGATCCAGTGCTCCCATGCAGCCACACAGGGAATCCAAGCTCGCAGAGCACCTCAACCCAGCTGCTTCGTGGAGGAAGGAGAGGAACGTAGCACAGCACAGGCACAGCAAGTCCAGTCCCAACAGCTCCTCTGCTGTCGACTGCTCTCTATTTTTTCAGCTGTTTGTTCACGCTGCAGACTTGTGCTGAGACCAGGCCAACTCATTAGCTGTCAGGGCGAAAACAGGCTTAGCATAAAGCATAAACAGCCACAGAGCATTTAAGACTGCTCCAGCTGATGCTTTGACAGCCCTTCTTGGGGGAATTTTGTGGACTTTTCGGTCAGCTCCATTAYCCAAAACTATTTCTTGATTTGCAGCACTCAGGGCTGCCCTGTCCCTCAGTGCTTCGAGCGGATCCTGCTCCAGCCTGAAAGGAAAATGCCAGAGCTATCCAAACCAAACAAGAGTCTCCCAGTTCCCCCTATTCCTTATCCGCGTTGGGAATACTTATCCATTAATACAGTTAATCTGAAAGACAGGATGCTGAGCCAATTTCAACAGTGAATGTGTGTGGAGAGGGGGGAGGATTGCGCAGGGATTTATGAAGGTGCATAAGTCAACTGCAGAGCTCTGCAGAGTCATTTGCTGGGCTGGCTGGGAGCTGGTGAAGGAAAATGCGTGTCTGAGTGTGGGAAGACCCTCAGGGAGGCAGGAACCATCCGTGGGGTCCTGAGTCCCACCAAGGTGGCGGTGGCGGCTGCCTTGGGCACRCGTGGGCCGGAATCAGGACTCCAACAGCCCGTGATGCTGGAGAGGCTTCGCTCGCAGCAGCTGCCGGGAGCCCTGCCCTGGCGGCAGGCCGAGCACAGGAGGAGCCCTCGCTTTCCCCAAAACCTTGGGCAAACTGGGAAAGCCAAACGCCAGCCGCGCTCCAGAGGCTCCTCTGGTCCACAAGAGCCCTGCCATTTATTTGGGCAAGTGGAGGAGGGAGAGGCTGGGACTGGAGCTGGATATTTCTGCACCACGTAGTCGTGTCCCGGGCTGCTTCTGGGGTTGCTCGGAGTCACTCAGAGTCAGTGTCAGTTTATACGTTGCAGGATGTACCAGAAGTAATTTTATCTGAGATTTATCAGTATATTTGCAGTGAGGAATGACATTCTGCTGGCAAGGAGAAAAACTTACTTCTACATCTTCCTTTCTCCCAACCTTAGCTCTTGTGATAAGATCATACCAATCATCATACAGAAAGAGGCTTCAATCCTCTCAGTATAACAAATGTGCTTTGAAGTGACTATASTTTCTGTGGTAAGAAAAACCAAAGATCTTCCCCTTATTTAGGCTACTCTGAATCACAACTTAATTCAAGTGCAGAATTACCAGTAAGAAAGCAAGATTTAGGAGAAATCCTGCCTTCATAAAGCCACAATGTGCAGTTATCTGCAGAGCAGTAGGGAACAGTGCTCTCTGCTTCCATGCTTTGTACTGGCTGCAGCTCAGAAGATGTAATCTTACTGTATATTTTAATTCATTTTTAATTACGCTCTTTTTTTCTTTCCCCACTCTGCAGAGAAAAATCAAATCCTGACACTATTAATCCTTTGGGATATAGGGAATTTGACTAGCTCCATTCACGTAAAAAAAGTGCCACTGGAGATTAAACCCAGATTTCATCATAATTATTCTTTCCAGTGACAAGCGAGGCTCTCAAACGAACCTTTGTCTCGCCGTAACAAAGCTCCCTTTCCCTGCCCTCGTGGCCTATGTGGCCGCTGGGACACGGTGTCGTGTCACGGCTTGCTCCGAAGCCGCAGCTCTGCTCCCGAGGGAAGTGGAAGCAGGAAAAGGGGAAGGGGAAAGGAGAAAGGAAGGGTTTTCCAGGCGCCCTCCCTGCGGATGCGTTGGTCCCGCCGGGTGAATGTCTGCCGAACGCGTGGCGAGCACGTGCGCCCTCAGGAGCCAAGGGCAAAGGAGCCAGGGAATTCTGGACAAAAACACTGCAGAAAATGTTTACTAAAGCCCTTCCTTTCCTTAAACAAGGATGAATTCCCAGAAAGGAGGAAAATTAAAAAAAAGAAAAACAAGCAAAATAAAACCCCCACAGCTTTATGCGCACATTTAAATGAGGAAGGATCCCCAGAGAATTACTAAGCAGATCCTCTGGTGAAATTATGCTTGGACTGAAACCTTGTACAAAACAATCCTACTCTTGCTAGTACTGAGACTAAGAAACTTGGTGCCCAGGCATACAAGCGGCAATGCCGAGCCCCCATTCCAGAGCTAAGTTAGGCACAGCCTAACTGCCCCAAGCCACCAGCAGAGAATTAGAGCACTTGGCCTGCAGTGTGTTCACAGGACAGCCCTCTTGCAAGTATCTGCAYGTCTGCCCAGGGCTGGAGAGGATTYGTGTCTCCACAGCACTTAGAGCACAAGTTACCTACAACACTAACCCAGGATTTTTCTGCTTGGATATGAAGAGCTGTAGTCTGCTGCCACGGGAGCAGCTTATACCGGGTGCACAACCACCGAGCAGTGTATGACCAAGCAGGAGCCTCCCAGGGAAGCTCTTGGAAAAACAGATGTTCCTTCCATCAAACATCTCAATGGCTGAAACTGTGAAAGCAGAGCAGATACTTACAYAAAGGTTCAACAGTAAAGATGAAGTTTTGCTCTTAGCAAAACAAGAGCTTTCTTCTAGCTGCCTGTGAAAAGGCAGTTAATGAAATAACTGCTGTTTTGATTCTGTCATTTTTTGACAGTTGTTTGTGCTCTTTAGCTCTCTTTATAATCCCCAAATTTACATCTCAATTAGATGACATGGTTTTCCCTAGTAAAGATCCAGGCAGCAGAAGTTCCTGCATCTTCGCTTCCACACGTAGTCAAGGTCTTCATGCAACTAATTAGGAACAAGTTTCTGCCTAAGGATGTCTCAGCCCTCCCTTTTCTTCAAGCATTTCCCCAAATACACCCAAATGAAGCTGGCAAGAGAATTCTTATGAGTTATCTCCCRGAACTCTCATCACACCCAGCTTGTTACAAGAGCCACATACGTGACCTCTGGGGACATCCTTCGCGGTGTGATCACACACGGAGTTCTCGGGGCTGCACTCGACGTGCAGAGGAGCAGACAGGGAAAACAGGGCTAGTTCTGAAGTGAGAGGGACCATGTGAAGAAGGAATATATTA